AACCACTTGTTATACCTTTTAGTTTTATTGGACATTCTTTAACAAAATATTCATATTGTTTATGCATGCTGTTCCTGTTATGGGTTACATTTTAGTGAGGAACAAAGAGTGTAGTGAATATAAAAAATACATGATTTGCAGTAATATTGCCCGTTCCAAAATTCGAAAAGGGACTGGTGACTAGTCACAAACTCGATACCGTTTGAAGCAATCAAAAAACAGACASCAGGACAAGAAAGAGCATACTAAAATTAGTAAAGCTGCTGAGTTGGAGAGTATTCGGATTAATATTACAGAGTTTCGAGCATTCAAAACTTGAAAAAATTACAAAGAATCAGAATGTATGGAGCTTTTGAGCAGCGTCCCCAAAAACCATACATTCTCTTTTATTTTTACAAATTTGAAAAAATTCCTACTCGGTGAGTATTCAACCAAATATGCTCAAACTTGACAAGAACGTTTATTTTAGTGTGGTCTTTTATGTGGTGAGGTTCAGTTTTTGATGAATGTAATATTTTCACACTCGTTCCCAGTCTCCTTTTGAATTTCAGAATGGCCAATTGCTACCATTGCTTGATTATAATTAATTCTTGTRGTTGCTTGCATTGCTATGCGACCAAGAAGAAAGAAGTTGCATTGATAAAAGACTGATCAGTATCAGCYGCAATCAAAGACAATGGCATTCATTTCATTGTAGGATTGTATTGCCATTAACAAAATCTTCCATGTAATGCTGCAATGCAAGCAATAGCAAAATATTGTGCCCACAATCCTCCTGTTTCAAGACCTCATTTACTAAGCCTTCAATATGAAAGRGTGTAATAAATCCTTTTATTCAGTACCATCCCTTATTATAAAGCAAAACTTGTGTATGTAAGGATGGCAGTAAAACATGACCTGCAGTAAATAATGAGGCTAAGGCTGTGCAAAAGAGATTTCTAAACTGGAGTATTTGCATTCTCCTTAAGAATAACATTGTGTTGTGCATGTATCAAGGATTGTGATGGGTGCTTATGGTTCTGAGATGCACTGAAGGTATTATTCATAATAATAACTTTTTTCTGAGTCAGAAATTCTCACATGTCTCAATGCAGTCACACCATGGCATTAACTCAAACCTGTAGTACCACAGGCCTGGCTATATTCTCAACAAATTAAACTGCTTTAAAAATTGAACATACACACTATAATTATTATTATCAAGTTGTAGCATAAAGGATTTGAAGCATCCAATCTTCTTTAACTCCATTACAATTATTTCACAATGAACATGAATGATGTGAAAAGCTTGATAGTTAGTACATGTACACTGTACATTATGCCTTGAAGACCTTTACAATCCTTACTACATMTTGTCTGCATATAGGACATTCTGTGACCTTTTTGCTGCAGCCCATACATGTGACCATGTGGCCACACTCTAATAAAACACAGTCTATAACATTGTCCATGCAAACTTTACATATCTGTTCTTCATCATCATCATCTAAAAAGAGATAACATAAGCTTAATAACATAACATAAACTGACAGCCAGCCACCAGCTTACTGACACCTTACCAACCACTTACTGACATCTTACCAATCACTCACTGCAGCAACCACTTATTTACACCTTACCAACCACTTACAAATTGACATCCTACCAACCAAAAAAATAAACTGTAAAATTACTAACCTGAGTTTTTGTTCTTGGATTTATTTTTATCCTTCCACAATAAGCTAACTTTCTCTAAAAGTTCATTTTTTTCACAGCACCCTTTAAAGTCCACACAGTTGGTTGTCAGGATTCGCTTTAACTCTTTGACTGACAGGCTGTATATTTGGTCAATGTTTTTCATATCATCAATGGTCCTCATAACAGCCTGTACAAAACCAAATCATTGTAAACCAAAGTCTAAAAACATGGCTTGAAAGATTCAATCAATTATTTATAACCAACATCTACTTCATATTTATTTTTGGYTACATTGTTTTGACTAGTAATGTAAAAAAATCCCTTTCTGTGGTAAAGGAAATGTATGAATTTACAAAGTACTGTCTTCCAATCTAAATATACATGCTAATATTGATCTCATTCCCTTATACAGCATCTTATTGTCAACAAATATTATCATGAAATAACTCACACAATATTGAAAAAGGTATTTACGACGTTAAAACACTCTTAACAACATTGTAGGTAAAGAAACTACTGATCTTCAATCAAATACACTTACATTCTGTGAAGTAGATTTGGGGATAGTTTCACTAGGAGCATTCCTATTGGAATTGTTCGTAGTATTTTCTCTAGAGTATGAAGGAGAGCTATTTTCTGTAGAGTATGAAGAAGAGCTTCTAGTCGTGCCACTTGTGCTAGTATTACCAGAACGATTAGTTGTCCATGCTGTTGATGGTTGACTAGGAGGTGTTCTCCTTTCACCAGGTCCTTCTGGCTGCCTGGTAGTCGACTGAAGGACAAGATTGATTATCTCTTGCTTTTCCTTACAGCCTTGAAATGAAATATTTTTCTTCTGAAGAAAATCACACAAGTCCTTAGTTCGAATTCTCTGAAGGTACTCTCTGTGAACATGAGGAGCCCTCAAAGACCGACAAATCAGACAATTTGTAACATTTGAATCAAATGATGATGCTCCTTCCTTGAAACATTCTTTACAAAAATCCTTCTTGCAATTTGAGCAGTTTTTCTGAAAGGAAAATTAGATAATTGCACGAGAAATACTATATCACTTTATAATTGAACAAGTACAGAGGATGGTGTCTCAACGCCGTTCTTCTCGCCTATAAATCTAATGAGGGTCAGTCTAAAGTCAAGTCAAAGAAACATACTACAGTAAGAGGAATCTGAATTCATGCATGCACACTTCCTGCAGTTACAACTATGTCTATGCACGCCTATTGTATATATTATTTAAAATATCAAATATATATATGTACGTAAACAAATAAATCACATATAAAATCAAACAAAACAAGTCAATACTTTATAATGGTCGTGAATATAAAGATTTGGGGGTTTAGTGTAGCCATGGTAGCAGTGACGATTGTAATTTTGTTTTGTGCACGTACGGCACTTCTATTCGCCTCTAGAATTAACTTTACTTATATTTAAAACGTTTCGAAAACTCTCATTATATAATCTAGTTATACAATTAACATATAATGCKGTTGCATATTTTTCAAAGAAATCAAAATACTATAAACATTGATATCGCAAAGAATTTACTTGGAAGACAGGTGAGAAGTTGGAGTAGCGGTGATAGAAAATGGTAACAAAACTCTCAGTTACTAAACTTACCTTTCGCTTTAGAATATTAAAATTTGCACTACATAAATAACAGACCATATCAACATTACTATCTCTCGAACTTGATGGAATAGAAGAAGGATTTGACAGATTTGAAGAAGACGACGAGGGATGTACAGGGTTGGAACTCGAAGTGTGATAAGTATAGTGTTGCTGATATGGACCCGAACCTCGTGTTCTTTGGCCAGAATTCAAATGATAATGTAGTATAGATTCGATGTAATCATTTGGGCTATCTCTAAGTTCTCCGTTTAGACCGCCAGAGCCCATTTTAAACACATTCCAAGCGAATATTGGCCGTAAACCATGTAAACATGAAACAGCGAAATCATTTCCTTGGCATTAATTCACAGTAGTACCCAATCTCCTCACATCCACAATAATCAGGAAGAGGACATGGACTCCACAAAGGTTTTGCGCGCTACTAAAATTGGATGTGCGGGAGACTAATAAGAAGTGTTCATATTTTATTTTTTAAACATAGTACGTTTTCGACATTTACTTTTCTTCATCCATGGACATTACTATCCTTTGCTTCCTTTTCAATCCCAGGTGTTCTCCACTCCTTTCCTTCCTCATAAGAAATTCCTGATTTGTGCTATTTCCCGCTATTTCCGTGACATCAAAGTGAAATATGTATCACCAACTATTGACATTGGATACTGATGCAAAGACTCAACAGTACTTGGTGGCCTTGCTCAAACTTAAAAAAGTTTTTAAATTAATTTGGAAAGAGGTTAAATATCCATCAATTATAAATGTTACAAGTTCATCAGTTTTTATTTATAAATCCAAATAATATTTAATACTTATTTATATTATAAAACTTATGTTATTAAAAGAATATTTTACTGTACATTTGTTGTCTTTTATTTGAAAATATTAAGTATAATGCCCCGAGTAAAAACTAGGGAATCAAACGGCAAAGGAAATGCAAGAAGGTGCTAATTGTGCATTGTATAATCCATCCATCCCATTGGTTAAAACATGAAAATCTGCTATAATTTTACAAGTTAGCGCAACTTCTAATATTTTATTTTATGTCTGTTTTCACTTTCATGAAAGCTGTCTTTAGCTTCAATATTAAGGCTACATGGGGAGCAAATTAGAAGCATCTTTTGGCTATTGTTTTGAGTGCTTATGATTGGATAAGAGCTTGTTTCACATTTTATTTATCCACATTTCATTTCAAAAATGTGTTACCCATAGGTTGATATATATCAGTGTGAAAGCCAAGACATTCGTATGTGGGAAAGTTGCAATGCCGCAGAACAATAGAGAGTTCCCTAGTTCTTAAGCGCATTGTTATTTAATTATGAATTCTGAATGGCGCTCATATATTGACCACTCATGCTTTTTTTTTGAAAGACAGTTAAGCAAGCAAACACTTTATGTAGTAGTAAAGCCCAAGTGTGACTATGTCTGCCCTTTGACTTTCACCATTGACTAGCTCTTATCTTTTGCCCTGCTTTACTTGAATCATATGTAAAACTACACTTTACAAAATCATTCAAATTATCACTTTTTTCTTCTTTTTATCAAACACTTCACACCACCTTTTGGTCGAATTGTTATTTGCTCAACCTTTTCTAACTTCTGACCAGGAACAAGCTCAAGCTCAAATTCCTGGAACAACCTTGCCATTATAACTCTTGCTTCAAATTCTGCCAGTGTCTTCCCAATGCATGAACGTGGTCCAGTTGAAAAAGGTGTATAAACAGTACTTGAGCGACCAGTTTTATTTTTCAATTCAAATCTTCTGGGTTCAAACACTTCTGGCTCCTTCCAGTTGAGGGGACTATTGTGGGTGAGATAGAATGAAACATAAATTGGAGTATTTTCTGGAATAACATAACCTCCAATGGTTTCTTGTTTGGTTAACATGCGCTGGGTGCCCCCAATTGGTGGATGCATTCTTAAACTTTCTTTCAATGTCATTCCAAGATATTCTAGTTTTCCAATATCTTCATATGCAACAAACTTCCTATCTCCCAGAATATGTTCTACCTCTTCTATGACTCTGAAAGGCAATCAAACAAATAAGATAGATAATAATCAAGAATAGAGTGAATTATAAACTTTGTAGTTATTTTAAAAGTATTTGTATTATAGGTTTTTTTTACTCCCCCCCAACTTGAGTTGGGATGTGCTGCTGGGACCTCAAAACCTTGACCCTGTTCCAGAGTGAGATCGCTGAAAACTATACCATGTTCCAGAGTAAAATCGTTGAAAATGATACCCTGTTCCAGAGTAAATCCAGCACTAGCCTGCGTGTAGACCAAATTCTTATCCCGTAAATTTTTACCCAGCATCAATAATTCCGGAATTAGACCCTGACCCTGTTCCTGAGAAAATTCACTGTAAATCGATACCCTGTTCCAGAGTAAAAGCGCTAAAAACGATACCCTGTTCCAGAGTAATCGCTGAAAACGATACCCTGGTTGGTGGCACGTCGATGGCACGTCCCTATATAGCAAATATAAGGGGGGTGCCCATGGTTTGCCCTGGTTTCTTTTATCAGAAAAAATCCTTATGATTGTCACCATGGTATTGAGGTTTTTAAACCATAAATCAAATATTGTAACTTTTTTTAGACAAGGAGGGGGACATTGGGGTTTGCGGGATTGCGGGATTGACCGTTTTTTCATTTATTGCGGTAATTTGGCAAAATAAATGCGATAATGCGGGATTTGTATTTTGTGCGATATGCGGTATTTGAAGTTTTAAGATGCGGTATTACGGGAAAAATCGCTTAAAATGTCGGTATTGCGAGAAAAATGCTTSYAGRTCTAATTTTTCTAATCGATTTTTTCATGCGGTAATGCGGGATTTTTGAAATTTTTTTTGCGGTATTGCGGTATTCAGAGCCCCCCAATGTCCCCCTCGACAAGTATTATACCCTCTTCCCAAATATACCACAAAGCTTCAAAACTGTAAGTGAGCAAATAACCAAAATATTTTTGACTTAATTAAGAACATAAATAAAAAATGAGGCCATACTTGTTGTTAATATCTGGATGGTCTAGGATTTCAAACAAAGTAAAGGCCAGCTGATTTGAGGTAGTTTCTTGACCAGCAACAAAGAACGTCACAAAGTCATCCACCATGCTTTCCATATTGTAGTCGTCATTTTCATTTGATTCTTTCAATGAAACAAGATGGGTCAAAATATCCTTGTGGCCGTTGCTGCCATTGATGATTCTTTTTTCAATCACATCCTGTGCAAATTGCCGTAAGTATTGGATTTTTCTGATTACATCATTTTGATAAGGCCAGTTCCAGACCTGAATGAAAGACAGGGGATTTCTAAAAAAGGTTTGCACTCCTTCTAGGGTTTTGGACACTGCGATTGGAAATGGACTACTGGCATTTTCTACTGCATTGATGTCTATTCCAAAGCCAACCTAAATTGGAAAAAAAAAATATCTTAATTTTTAGTGGGTCAGACATGTTCAATGAATTCACACTGAGGGGGTGAGATTGATGCTGTTGATTACAAATATTAGCAAGAATAGCAAGTATACATTAAAAATCTTCACCCCATCAAACAMAGCTGACATCAACTCCTCCCCCTCAATCATGTCATGCATATTTAAAAATGACGATAGTGCCATGCACATAAAGTTTTGTGATATAGCAATAATCATGTTCATTATCACAATAACTTYAGTTTTTYATTCACCTTTCCGATTACATCCAACGTAACTCTTCCAAATTCTTCTGACATCTCAACTTCTGTTTTCCCATCAGCTAACTTTCCAATYTTRTCCAAAAACACATTACAGATCCCATTGAAAGATGCCATTAAATTTATCAAATAGGATCTGTGGAAGGCTTTATCCAACCTACTTCGTTTCTTCTTCCAAATGCCGTGATTTAATTCTGTCAAGATGCCATTTCCCGTAAAACGGTGACCATAGGGATATGCTAACTTATTGTAGGTTCGGGCAGACTTAGGCAAATTGAGAGTTATCAGGAGTTTCTTGATATCTTCAGGGTCCAAAACAGTTACAATTGGTGTAAAAAATGCCCAAATCACAAACACAGGACCAAATTCCATATGCCAGTCATACCAAAGCTCTGAGAGAGCTCTTTTATGGACGTATATTTGCTTGTTTATGGAAGGCAGGTTTCCAGTGAAAAAGCTATCTATCTTTGGCCCGGGAATGTGCTTGTATAGAGACCGTTTGCGATATATATAAATAGCCAGGAATATAGTAAAAATAATCCCCAAGAGAGTGAGAATACATAAGGCTCTGAGGAAAATATCCACAGAAATTAGTTTCAGCAGAGACATTTTGTCATAGGAGAAAAGTACTTAAAAGCACTTGAAGCGTTGCATCTTTTGTCAGAGCACAGGAAGCCCGAAACTTTACCATACCTCCATCAAATAAAAACAGGCACCCCAAGGAAAGCCCAAATTCTATATCTAGTGGTATCGCATAACATTATAAGTTTTGATAAGTATAAAGCGATATTTTTTTAAATCCAATTCTGATATTTTTTTAAATCCAATTCTGTACTCTCCCTGCGTTTCACCGCTGGGCACATCGAGTCTGTTTTTTTCTCTTTCTTTGTAACCACCGGCCAGCATGATATTATTATTATTATCCATGGCWTGACTTTATAGCTTACGCTTCACACTGACTTAGCAAAATTGTRCTAGGATTCCCTGCCCTCTCCCTGCTCATTTAAMAATAACAATTTCAAATTGTTCACAAAAAGCAACAAGAGTGTACTAGTAGTAACCTTTCTAGCCAATGCAGCAGGCCGGACTTTAGCTCTTTGGAGGATGCAGTACCAAAAAATCCCCTAGTACAGCCTAAGGCTACTGACTGGCTACGCCCMTTTTTCGACTCTCGGGGAAATAAATTCGAAGCACAGAAATTCCCAAAAGAGMATCGCCGAGCAAGCTTCAAATATCAAATTCTGCAAGGGAACACTAGGATACTCAAAAATTGAAGAATAAAGATCTTTACAACATTCAAAACATCGAATAGAGATGCCTTGGTGAATATTATCGTTCTAGGAAGAAAGCACGCTTTCGTCTAYATCATTTAATTCTGGTTTTCATCTCATTTTATAGTGCAGTAATCCYGGTAATAGCAGCCGACATTACTTCTACACAACGTATACACAAAATTCTCTTCCAAGGGAATATATAAAGAGTAAATAAAACCTAACAAAAACGTATGCAGTGGAGTGATTACTCCATATCACTGTCGATATTTTTTCGAGCCCAATTTCGACGTTTCGCTCGCGGAATGTAATGTGCGCGCGTAAAATAACCACGTTCCGCGCGCATCCACGTAATAATAGACGTTTCATATCTCTAAGGTGATTCACTTGATAAACATATCAAATTGAGTTTGCATCTCTCATTCCTGTCTCAAGCAATTTGATCATTTAATAAGAAAATGTATTGCGTTCATATAAAAAACAACACTTCATTGGCTTTGATGCCATTCTATCACATGCACGGATCATCCAGTGGAATTTTSGCTCAAAAACTGAGCAATTTTGGACATCTGAAAGCGTCGGCTTCTTTGGAAAAGACCACGCCTTTTGCTCTGAACATCGTTGACGMGGAAGCTTGGGACAGGGAATTGGACCTTCCTTTGCTGGAAGATACCACGGCGTCAATGTTTGACGATGAATACCATGTTGAATTGACATCGACTCCGAGATYCACGGTAAATGAAATTCCACAAATGAACTATGTAACTGATGATGATGACTTATCGACCACTCTCAGCGACGATAGTATCTTTGACATAACTCAAGAGATGGATTTTTCTCTTGATTCTACTAACTACATTGAAGTACCTAAAGTACATAAAGAACAAGAGGAAGACAACATTTCTGAACTGAATTCATCTGCAACATTGAGTGATGACAGTGTGTTTGACATAACACAAGACATGGATTTCTCCTTTGATTCAACTAACTACATYGAGGTTGAAAGACCCAAAGTTCAAAACGAACAGGAGGATGACAACAYTTCTGARCTGAATTCATCTGCAACATTGAGTGATGACAGTGTGTTTGACATAACACAAGACATGGATTTCTCCTTTGATTCAACCAATTWCATTGCTGCTGATACTGACACTATCTTGTCTAACAAGATGCCTATTGAGACAATAGATGCAGCCAGCCAAGCCAATCTTGCAAGTGAGCTTCCACCTATTAACGACATCCAAAAAGCCACAAAAACTTCCCGTCTCAGGAGGTTCCGTCATAACCTTAAAAGGATGAACATATTTGCTGGTGTAGTCTGCAGCAGAATTGTACGTTGCTTTGTTCAAAACCACATTGTAATGTAAAGTCAAAGGTCTGAAGGAACCATGCCTTCAAAATGGACTGCAGTTCAGATGAACATTAATTTAAAAAGAGAACTRTCTGATTATATTTAAGAGTTAAAATTAAAAGATTGTATATAATGACAGATATTCATTTTTCGATTGTTGACTGATTTATAGTGTTGAGTATCATAAAATAAATCATTTCACGCCAACAGTATTTGAATATTGCTTAATGATTATGGAAGTTTAAAGACAAATGTCTTAGTAGACTATTTYAGCAGCTGCCCCTGTGTCTTCAAACAATACTACTCCCCTCCCTGTAGGGTAGGAGGCAGCCCTATTTAGAAAATCTTTTGCAACTCATAAAAAAAACATAATGCACTCACACTATATGAAAAGCATGACTTCTGCACCTATTTAGAGAACTAGTCCATGAAGTTTTCATATTTTAAAGTAATTTTCTTGTTGTAAAAAGTGCAGTTACTTCTACAGTTCCATTTATTTTTGCCTCTATCTAATTCCACTGCAGACAAGAAAAGAAACTAAAAGAATGGATTTAAGTCTTATATTTTATCAACTATACAATACATTACACATATGCAAATAGGTAAAGTTCTATCCTGAATTATGCAGAAATAAGGCTCATCTTGGTTTTGAAATCATGTAGYGACATCAGGCTTCCAAGGTAAACTTTCAAGGCAATCCAGCATCAATCAATTTGTTACMATGTATAATAAAACAGTCTGTATTGTTGGATATTCACTCTTCATCACCACCATCCTGTATATAATTATGCTTGACATGTTTCCATAGTTTCTGAAATGCRAATAAGATTTTAGAATTAGATAAATCAACTGATCAAAGATAGYGTACACACACTAAAACTGTGCAACATAAATACCACTAAATACTGCTAAATTATGCTAATTCTATTGTTTTCTATTGTTTAGTTAACACTATTTTGTAGTAAATAGTGATAAGTGCTGCACACATTTAATGTTTGTACTCTAAAAGGAACTGTTAGATATTTTAATCATTTTTATCAAAAGGTTTCAAAACTATCTCATCATGATGGTCCACATATTGATTATTTACTAACCAAGCTTTCAACATTTTATTTAAAAATGCATGAGCATGTCTGAATTGCTTGCKCTAAAAAGAAAGTGTCCTTTCCTGGCAGAGTATCTCATTCTTCTATGCAGAATTCTCACAAGAGAGACTCTGCCAGCATGGAGAACCATGTTGTAAACATTATGAAATAGTCTAGATAAAACCACTACAAGTTATATAGTATTGTGACAATATTTTTGTCAAAATGTAAAAGAACATCATGCACTGCCAACTGATTACTGAGGAGCTTCTAGGAATTTTTTAGAGATGCAGATTTTTACACGTTTAATACTCACCCCTTGATTCATATTTTCCCAAGTTCTATCTAAACCTTCATCAAAAACTCTCTCAAAAAGCACTGCACCAACGACTATTGTGAGGAGAAAAGTAGAGCTCCGTCTGAACAAAGTATTATATGCTTGTCTTGCGAGACCCATGGTATATTATAAGCAGATTTAACCAGTATAAAATTAAAATAWATTCACACAAGTTTTCCCCTTCTCCAACCGGCTAAAATCCAATATGGCGCAACAAGCGGTTACGCATGCGTTGTATAACTCGCGCAAAGATTCATGGATAATTGCCTCGTTGTTATGTAAACGTCATCTTCCCGCCAAATTTATACAACAACAGAGTCTCGYGTCTTCGACCATCTCTTGTTTGGTGCTKATTCTGGCTTTCTTTCGACGTTTTCGACCCATATTATTCAGATTTATCTTCTCGAAATGCTGGCAACAGGTAACACTCTACAGAAAGAAGAAATGGAGCTCGATAATAATGAAGAATTTCACTTCACAGAGGAACCTTCGCTTGAAAAAATGTGAGTGTTGAATCTTCATTAATTTTTTGTTGGTAAAGCTCTTAACGCTTTTGTAGATGATGTTAAAGTTGAAGCTTATTGGCGAGAATATTTTTAAGATTTGATGAAAAGCAATGAATGAATTCTTGATTTTTTCTTGACTCTGAGTGTTTTCTTATTTTGCTTATTAGCCGGCAACTACAAGCACAGTTTGCAAGAGAGAGAGACTGGGACAAATTTCACCAGCCCAGAAATTTACTGTTAGCAATGGTAGGTCAATTATTTTAGAATCATGTAAATTATTACTTTATGGCAAAAATCATTACATTATTGACTGTGTACTTGATAACTTTCAGTTAGAATTTGAGGTTTCTGAGGTCAAACTGGCAATCTCATCCGCGGGATGACCATATTTTAACTACCAAAACTTGAAGCATCATTTCCATGTTTTGTCATTTAATAGTCTCCCAGCCAGCAACCATAACCTAACACCATTTTTGAAAGCCATGTATAATTGGCAGATCAAGAAAACTCGAAATCCACTAAATGTTTGAAGTTATTCGTGGAGTTAGAAGGTTTTATTAACAGCTTTTATAGATACATTTCGAGATGGCRCARGGAACTGTTAAGAAGGCTATTGTATGTTTTTTGATAAAATCCAAATAGATTTGTGAAATGTCAGTTATTTATACTTTTACATGCACTTTTATCAAAGGTTGGAGAAGTTGGGGAAGTTGCAGAACTATTGTAAGTTAATTCAGTTGAATTCAGAATGTATGAGAACAGGAAAATAATCTAAGCATATACCTGATGAATACATCTTTTCTTTTTCCAGTCAGTGGAGAGACAAAGTGGAAGTAGGGCTACCAGGTAACTCATAAATAATAACACCAATAGCCGATTTGTGAATTTCTGTTTTTTTTTCCTTCAGTAGTTTAACACAAAAAAATTGAGACAAGGGACAAGACATAAAGCTCAGTCTATTTTGAAAAAAACTATTGTCTTTCACAAATGAGCTAATATATATAGTGCCTCATCTCATCTTGATTCCTTCAGTGTGACTGCTGAGAAAAACACTTTAACCAGTACTTTCTATGGATGCCTGGGATTGATGGGATACCTTTTGAATCATGTTTTCKTTTTCATAATATTTTTCAATCTCTGCACGATATTTTTTTGTGGCATAACCATGCTAATGTATCAGGGATTATCAAGGATGAGGTGGAAGTTCTGAAGAATATGTGCAACATTAATAGTGTAATACATAGCTATTTGATTCAAATGTTATTAACCTTATTTATTAAGATTGGTCAATGGAAGAGAAACAGCATCTGTCGCAAGAACTTAGTGATGTTCTAATATACTTAGTRAGGCTGGCAGAAAGATGCCATGTTGACCTGCCTAAAGAGGTTTTGGAAAAAATGAAGTTGAATGAACAGAAATACCCAGCTCACCTGGTCCGAGGGTCATCCAAAAAATACACTGAATACAAGCAGGACAACAGTTGAAAATTGACTATTCATAGATTTTTAATTTTTTTAGCGTAAAATAATTTGACAAACTAAGGACAAATAGGTTTATTTTAAAGCATATTTCATTATTAATAATGTTTACATTTTTTCAAGTCTATGTACAGTGTTTTAATTTCTTTACATGTGTAAATATCTCATGATTTTTAATTTATTTTGTTGTAAAAATTGTTTAACAAAAGGTGTAAATATACTTTTGTATGCCTAGAAACAAACAGTAAACAAATTAAAAAAGAAAATTTTACAAATTGATTTTAAACAYAATGCAAGCATTTKGGCCAATAAGTAGGCAAGCTCGTCAAGCTCAGTTTGCTTACAAACAAATGACTGTTAACAAATAAAATAAATAATTATTGGCTAACTGGCCAACCAAATATTTAAACACCTGATATTTTCTGCTTTATGCTTCAGCTACACAAGTGATTTTTCACTTGTACAGGCGACATGATTTTCTCAAAATCACAAGTGGCTAAGTGACAATTCTAGGGGTGGCGAATGGTACCTAGAAATAACTGGGTCTCGACAATTTTTGGTAGAATCTCGAGATCTTGGACTGCCAAAAAAAGGATCTCGGAATCTCGTGTTTCCGGCAATTTTTTTTGGCCTCAGATCTCGGAATTTCTATAACAAGATCTTGGATTTTGATTTGCCGGCATGCTCTCGAGAGAGTTGATTTATAAGAATTTTTCAATGCATAATTGTTCAAAATAAATGTTTTTTCCATGTTAACTCGATAAACAAGAACATAAAAACATTAATCTCGCTTCTCGGAATTTGGAAATTTTCAACATCTCGATCTCAGATTTTAAAACAGCGATTTTGGCGTCTCGACAGATCTCGGATTTTACCATTCGCCACCCCTAATTCTGTATTGGTAAAAAAATTCTCACAAATACTTATTTGACCTTATTGGAATCTCCATAAAGAGATGTACAAAAACAGCCCAAACTCAATGTTAAGCTTTCATCATACCTGAAAATCTTGTTACCTGCTGAAGCGAAAAATCGCTTGAGTAGCTGCGGCTTTATGCATGACTAATAAAAATATAACTCCTGTTCTTATATTAATATGCAGTACTTTTAAAACCTCATGTACGAATGGCTTTAATCTCCAATGGCCCCAGATGAATGAGTTCACTTTCCCAGTCTGACTTATGGGATTCTAGCTTACTACTATCTCAGGAAATAGTCTATAACAGTAGAGAAAGCTGCAAACCCTGCAGCACCAAAAAGAGCAGCCTTGCCTCCAGCTGAAATAGAATGGAGTTAACAAAGATTATTTATAATTTAAGAACTTCACTTCATCTCATAATTGTATTTTACTGTAACTTCTGCTTACCTCTTAGACCAATAAGACCTCCAGTTATCCCACCTGAAAGTGTTCCATTCTTCCAATCTGTTTTTCCCCTGTACTGCAATAAGAGAAAAAAAACAGATCCCAATTTTTATATTTTTCTCTCGCTTTGAGTCTGATTTATAATAATCAACATTAGTATCTCATATTACACAAGTACACTGTACAAGCCCTTTGTTCAATTTCAATCTAGCACAATTTTAAACAAGTAAAAGACTAGTCGATAACTTTTGCCATAAATTAGGATAATGTCAACACAGGAAGCCTGARTACCAGATTTCTCTTTAACTGGTCCAAAAAAACATGTGACACTTTGAGAATAGGTGTAAATTCTTGAAGTTAACCCAGCATAAGGAATTTAACATTACAAGAATGCCTCAGATAGAAGGTTATCACACTTACACTTTCGACTAAACACTCTGTACCAGAAAACATTAATCCCACCAGTGCAAAGTTCTTTCCATATGACAACGATCTTGCTTTCATGTCATTCAAAATAGCTTTTGCTGATTGGTCRGCTACACCAGTCATAGGATTTGGCATTGAAGACTCCATTCCTGCTGTAAACAGCCCAAATACCAAACCAAGACCATATCCTGTWAGATAAAGCAATATAGAAAATAATTTAGATTAAATTATATTGAAATCAGGATAATAGACGGGCTCTTCTATCATGAATGTGTACATTTAAGTTGTACACCCCTACCCCTCTCCCCCCAACAACCACAAATCTCCAGGCAAGCTGAATTCAGGGTGAATTTAATATGCCATGCGAAGATTTAAGCTTATAGGATGAGTAAGTAAGTGGCCCATGYCCACCAAATGCAAATACCTTTCTTGTAAACGATGAGGCTATCTTACACCAATCATATCAAAATAAAATAAAGTATTTGAATCATATTAAAATGATCTTAAACTTTTTATACCTGCTACCCCTGCTAAAGCAGATTTGAACGCGCAATTTTCCATTACTCTTTCAATCATCATTTCTTGAGGAGTTCTCGATGCCTGCGGTAGACCAAGCGAYGGGATGATTGGTGGTCTCTGTCGTCTAGCTTCCTCTATAGCTGGGATGATAGTACTCATTCGTAATGTTCCTATAGCACCCGGAACGGGTACAGGTGTGTTTCTATCACCATATGGATCGTCCGCCATTTTGAAAGTTAGAACCCATTCTTCTTGGATCTTCTTGATCTTATCTTTATCCCACAGGAAACCCAGAAATTATGCGGAATTTTAAGTATTTCCCGGAGAATACACTTATCATCATTCCWAGAATAGTGAAAGAGGAAAAAAGTCACCTTTTACCGCAGAATGCTTTATACYAGGGCAAAGTTCATTCTAAGTAGCCAATATACTTGTCTGTTGTTGTTAAAACAACAACAGACCAAGAAAATACACAAGCAAAAGATTTTATGATTTAACAGAAGCCAGAAAATAAGCAAAGAAATATTTTTTTGACGCAGCTGTGGTCTATTATCATGCTATTTTTTTTAAAATAACAGTAATAAAAGTAACATACTGGTAGTAAAAATGAGCGTGATGACTCATCGTGACGTCATAAAACTGTGCGTAATATGTCACGCGTGAGTCACGCCCTCTAAAATATTAGTATTATAACATTTATGGCAATTTGTCACTCTTAATCTCACACAAACAAATTTCCATCCTACCTTTGTTAATCGTATCATTCGGAATTTTTAACAATATGTCAAATTTTTAGAAATAAGATTAGTGCAAAATTCAACTTCTGATATGTATTGGAAGAAGAAATCAGCTTGACCTTGACGAAAACCAGAGAAAACGGACAAAAGTCACAGTTGCGGAACTATTACGGTATTTATTGCACGTTTGTTCAGTAGACCTTAGTTGTACGTCATACTAAAATKAGCAAATTGGTGTGGAATGGATTGGAATGTTCCTTTAGAGCTAAAAGTTACTGCCTGCACACTTAGCYGTTCTTAAGGTTTTCCCTAAGTGTTTCGAAATGAAGCAAATTCAAAGAAAGGCAGGAATTTATCGTAAGGTAGGAAAGACAACAAGAAATTATGCTAGATTTGGTTCCGATGCCGAAAATATTCGTGGTTCGAGCCTGCAAGTTCGAGCAATTCGACGTTGTTTCATTTTATACCAATCCATTCTTTTCTTGTGGTAATCATGCGAATTTAATATAGAGCAGTTTTTTAAAGAACTTCGCGTTCAAAATTGTTGAAGATGCATGTTTTTGTTTTTTATTTACGTTGTCCCGACCGATGTTGTCGAGCTTCGTGTGTTCGTCAATTGTCCGTCAATGGCCGGAGATTGCCTTTCATGCATTTGATTGGTCACCAGATTTCGTGAGGCGGTCGAGACTTCTGCAGAAAAGTCACCTCGAGCACTGTACACTTCCTTTCACTTCAATTTTCCTGGCGCAATGTTGTAAAAACGTCAAAATTTGTCTATTTATCATTGCAGAAGCGATCTCCGATGGAGWACAGAACTRCTTTTACCTCATTCTGGCAGAGAAACTGCCCAGATGCACCGCTTCCAGATCTGGAATTCTTTGATTCATCGGAAGATTTGCAGAACCGTTTTGAACACTGCAAACAMAATTTGAAGSAAGCTTTGTGCACCTTGGAAAARGAAGGACTTATTTTAAGATTTCTGTCAAGTGTTATCAACTCAAATGACTATGATGATTTTAAAGGAGAAGTTTGTGGAATTCTCAGGCGTGTGTTTTTAGATTCATTGACGAGTGACTTTAGTGACACCGAGATTTCAACACATGAACTGCAGACGACAGATCGTGAACTGACAGAACAAAACTCAAATCCCATAGTTACTGAAGACGAGCCTTTTCTCATACGTGGAGACTCATTTGCTTTTTCGATTGACACAAATAAACATCAGCAAGATCGAACTTTAATAATTGATGCTCAAGGTAGGAGCGAATCAGGGATGTTCTCCCATGGCGGAAGTGAACTTGAGGATGTCGATGAACAACCATTGTATCTGCCAGGGGCTCAGTTTCCCAACTCTATAGCACAACCATCTGCCGATCGAGATGTTGAATTATTAAATAACCAAAATGATAAAGTGTTTTCGAGCGGACAAAATCTCCCGTGTGATGAAGGGACGAGCGAATGTTTGGCCAATGAAGATAGCGCGGTTTGGAATACATCAAATCAAAAACTGTTGATTACTGCACGCGATTCTTGTCGAATGGATCAAACTGAAGTCAAAGCTGGTGGTTTAAATACAGAAGGCACTGTCAAAGATAATGGGAATTCACCACTGAGTTCTGTGCACGGCCCTTTCAAGTCGGCAACCTTGCCCGCTTGTACAGAGCGTACATGTAAATGGCAGAGTGAAAGAAGGCCTTACTCGTTTGGGAGCTGCCAGTTTCATGATACTAATATCCCTTACGAAACCAAAAGTAATGAAAGACGCGGTAAAAGAGGTGGTATAGAACCCTCTGATATTAAAAGAAGGCACTCTACTGAAACTAAGAGAAATAACAACATGAGTCGACATGACACTGACAGCTCAATCCAAGTCAAAGAGGAGGAAGATAGATATTCGAATTCAAGCGAAGACCGACCTACTTTAGCTGAAGAAGAAACGTTTTTRGTTGATGTGTCTGAGGGAAAAGACGACCTCGACCAAGAAACTATTGTTGTGGATGATTTGATATCGTATTTGGAGAGGATAGAATTTGAAAGCAGCGAAGAGGATTCAGCGGCCTCAGAGGGAAGTGGTAAAATGTCTTACGGGTTCTATGAAAAAAATGGTGCTTTGATCAGAAAAAAACAGTTACAATCCGCACTGTCTACAGCTAGCGGTGTAAGCGCAGATTCATGTCTCAGTCCCTATGCTTTAGACTTAGCCATGTCAGAAATTCACTCAGCAGAATCCTCTGATCAGGATGAATTATCCAGTGAAACACCATCCCCATTGAGAGGAAAGAGTGARTCTGTACCCAAAATTATTGAAGGGGATGAGCCCATCAAGCCCAAACCCCCTGCCAAACCCCCTCGAAGGCGTAGCAAAAAAGGCATGGTGCGTGCACACACAGTTGGGACACCAGTAGAGGTTAAGACMAAAAGCAGGGGATACTCTGAGGAGGATGAGGTTTTCAGTAAGGAAGAGGAAGGCTATGAAGGTAAGTCTATTTATATTTACAAAAATGAAGAATTGGATTGAGATATCATCACACCTTTACAGTGTAAATGACATTTAAAATAATTTCTATAATATGAATAATATTGTTTTTGTATGCGGGATGTTTTGTAATAAAATATCAACGGTTTTGATATCGGAATGCTCGTTTTGTATACATCATGCTGCCAGCTATTTAAATTTATCTAAAATGCAACTGGAGATCCTGATATGGTTCATATAGGTGCATCTATCTTTTGAATGCTAAGTGTTAAAGACTAGCACGCTTCATTCGTGTTATTRACAGCCTGTCAGAAGATTGTCATAATAAAACTGCCGTGTTTTTATGTTAGCAGAACTGAATATAATTTCATGATGTGAATTAATGTAAGTTCATAGAAATTAACATTTTAAATACCATATCTTAAGTACAGGAGCACCATGGATTATTGTGCTTATTTAGGCTCTGAATATAGAATACAAAAATATTAAAATACTGTTATATTTGTGATAAGATTTTTGAATTTTTGAAGTCATTGCTTTAAATTGTGAATTTGTACTGGATGACTCAGGGTTTTTTTATTAAAAATATAAACCTGAGAAACTCTCCATCTGAGCAATTAAAAAGTCTTCATTTCCTCATTCACTTAAAATGTTTATATCTAATTAGAATAGATCAAAAGAACTGTATATTCTGAGCAATTTTGTTCCCTTAGTGCAGGAATTTATGGTTGAACTGAGTATTTTGAGAAAAAATATTATTAGGACGCATGATATTTTACTTCAAGTCATTTTATGAGATATAAAAAAATCCTTTAGTTTTATTTGTATTTGTACAGCTGTTAGATGTACATTATGTAGATCAAGTAYTGTGGCTTTTTACGAGTGATAATGCAATTAAGATGAAGGATTGRGGGATGGTCTATCTACTTCTCTGATTGGTTAGCATTTCAAATATGGCTATAAACAGTTGTAATGATTTATAATAAACAACGTGAAATTCTTGAAGCTATTGAAATTTATTTTTGTCTTGAAGCATCTAAGCAATGCCTGAAACAAATAAGAAAGGGAAACAACTTTGTTGCATTTTACTACAATATTAAGTTCTCAGTTGAAATATTTACTTATATTCACATGCACAATTTCATCATAAATTTTATCATTCATTAATTTTGGTAATTTTGATGTGTGTGTGTTAAATGGTCCATTAAAATTTTAATTTTAGGCTGCGTTAAACAAACTGTTACAWCCAGAACAATATTCATTACYACTTGTGWTAAGCACTGTTGTAAGAATCTTTGAGAATCTCTTGAAAAAAATAAGTCGTGAGATGAGGGTAATCTGATCATGTGTAAAGCCCTTTACAAATTATTAAATCACACTTGTCATCCCACATTGATGGGATTTGCAATGGCATCAATTGTTACCAATAATTTTGCCTTTTGTTTTATTTTTAAACACAGGGGACCAGGAAAGTCAAGTTCTATCTCAAAGTCACAGCAATATTTCCAGCTCCAAAAATTCATCTGTTCAATTCCGTACATTGCTTGCTACAGGAGAGGAAGAYAGGAGGAAACTAAGAAGAAGTAGAGGCTCCAATGTTATTCTTGACCAGGACAATGTGGATTTTCCATCYTCACCCTTATCTTCCCCTGTCAACAATGCTAAGGATCCTGTGAGTTATTGTTGAATTCATTTCTGAAAATCAAGGGGAGACTAGCTAGGACCGAGTTCTGGTTTACTCTGTGTTAGCCTCAAAACCAAGCAACATATTCTTTTGTTTCAATGATAGCCCGACAAAACGCATGGAATTTGAAAAGAAAGACAATAGAATTGATTTAAAATCTCACACTTTTATTCTCACCATTAGGRATATTTTGCRCACAAWTGAGGCTAACACAGAGCAGTGGAGAATTCGAAACTGGATTATTGTCGTGATATTTATTGTCCACTAAACAAAAATTCAACCCTAYCATGTGAAAGACAACACAACAATTAGTGTTGTTTTCAAGGTTGAATACTCACCAMGTAGCATTATTTTAAGAATTTGCAGRGAWTGTATRGTTTTTGGGGACACTAAACTGAAGCTTTATACATTCTTTGTTATTTTTTKAAGTGCTTACTGCTCTAYGTTTGAATGCATTCAAACTCARMAGCTATACTTATTTTATTRTGCTCTGTCTTCTCTTGGAATCCATTTCTTTATTGCTTATTGCTTTGAACCTAAATACCAAGTCCACATTTCAAGGTCAGAATTGCCAATACCCTACCTCATTAGTCTTTGCTATTATACAGATTATATGAGATTGCCTCATAAAATTATGTATATCCAAGTCACTGTAAGCTATTCTTGGAGTACTAAAAACACCAAGTATTGTGAGTTAGACWTGTGCTTTTAAAAGTTCAAGTCAAATATTTGTAATATGTTATTATTTTGGCGAAGGTTCCAAAAGAAGTCAGCAAAGATGATGCTCATAAACTACAAAACAGAAAATGGGTGGCGTCGGCAGTGGTTGATAGTGAGAAAGGTTATCTTGAATGCTTGAATATCCTTTGCCAGGTAATGTATTTTTACTAAAGGCAACATTATTTATTTATTTATTCATTTATTTATTTATTTACCAAATAAGTCACGCATTCATTACTGAATATTATGGACTGTAACATAAATAGAAAAAGAAGAAGAATAACAGTAAAAAGAAAAGAAAAATAAGAAACATTAGAGAGACATGATGGTCTAGTGGTTAAGGCATTGGACTTTGAGTTTATAGTCTTGGATTTGATTACCAGACCAGGCAATTATGTTTTGTCCTTAKKCACTCTCTCAGTGCCTCGTTTTCCTCATAGAAGRACATAAAGTCAGTGATCTTGTCATCACACATCACATTAGCACTATTTAACAATGAGTARGGYACAGTGGTGTTAATRCAGGGCAATAACTAGGGTGGGATYRCCATGACCTATAATCCTTGTYCATGAGGGGTTGCTTGTATCATAAAACAAATCARCAATAATATAATGCACTCAAACATCAATAAGTGAGAAGGTATTGTATYTCATTTGGACAAGTCCTAACCCATAATGCATTAGATGAAATTTCTTGTTACTTTAAATGTGATAGTTTATGGGTTAAATTCTAGTATATGAAACCCATCAAGGCATCACTGGCCACAACTGTCCCTATACTCTCTACTCAAGAATTCAACAAGATATTCTTTAAAGTGGAAGATCTCTTCAAGATGCAYGACAAGTTCTTCCATGACCTTGAAATTCGTGTTTCTAACTGGAATATGAGACAAATCATAGGAGATTTATTYCTTAGTTTGGTAAGGACATGATAATTGAAGAAAAGATTTAGTCATCATCATTAATATCATTCTGTGTCTCAATGGAAGTCATTTGTCAAAGTACATACATTCATAATTCTGAATCAAGCAACGTTTAGACTGATCAAGACTTCTGCTAGTCTCCTTCACATCCGTTTCATATCGGGCTTCCTTTCCCTCCCCTCAAACGGGAAGGGAGAGGAAGCCCGGCACGAAAACAGATGTGAAGGAGACTTAGCCTGCGTCAAATGGACAAACCACGGTTAACTCTGTCTGTGAAACAGCGACAAGTCATTGCCCAATCGTCAACTGTTTTAGAATTTGAATTGGTAACAGCCAATCAGAAATCACTTAATATACCCTTGCTAGTCCGTTGGGGGTCGGAACAAGCTTTTTGGCGGTGTTTCGCAGACGGACTTAACCATGGTTTGTCCAGATGTGATGCAGGCTAATGAGACTAGACTTCTGCTTATCAGAGTACAGACAGAGTAATCAGTTGCTGCATTAATTTAAGTCCCTGTATACTTTCAAATATTTTTGGCATTATGATAAATCAATGTCAAAATTGTTATAAATATGAGGGTAGAATCTTTCCTTTTTAAGCGGTCGATTGAGCATGTGCTGTGTGTGTACTGGAATGAATAATGCTACTGTCCAATAGAATTARACTAAACGGTTATGGTGATGTTTACACGGTGTCTCAGTAGAATAGCATAAATTTCCTATTTATCCAGCTTCCTTGCTTTGTATCCCTATCATGATTTGTTAACACTACATGGCTATCCATTCACAGGTTTATCAGTTTGACATTTATCGTGAATACATGCAAAACTACAAGATTGCTACAGATACAATCCACAAGTGTAAATCAAATGAGAGATTTAGTCAAATATTTAGTAAGGTAAGGTTTTCTTTATTCCTCTTAATATCAATAGGTACATTTCTATCTAATAGCAGTAACATCCACCAGAAACTTAATATTAACATGTTTCATGTGTTCTTGTATGTCTGTTGTAATAATTTTATCAATTAAATGGTAACTATGCTTCCAAAACACTACAAACTAACTAAAAGTTAATTGTTACACATTTGAAATGAAAGATCCCTTAAAACTGAAGAAATAAGTGGCAATATKTTTTACTTGAATTGAACTATCACTGGATGGCCTTAATTTTCATGTATTAAATTTACCAGATATTTTAAAATAATTTGATACATGTCTCTTTTATTTATCAGGAAATCAAGCTAACTTGTTCYGAAGAAAAGACAAGTCTAGAAAGCTTATTTAGTAAACCAGTTGACAGGATTGGCAGATATGTAACAGCAATAAGTGTGAGCWCAAAACAAAATTCAAAGACCAATGATAATTGAGTCAGTAAAGTAACTTTTAAATACGATTTTCTGTAGGATCTTTTGAAACAAACTCCTAAGGACCATCCAGACCATACTATACTACTCGAGGTYCAAGTAGTAACTCAGGAATTCCTTGGTAAAGTCAGTGGTGTYGACCAGAAAGACGGTGCTGTAAGTTGAATGTACTCCCTTCTCCTCTGTGTGCATGAGAGCTTTCTATGTGTACATCTCTATGTATTAAGTACATCCATATTCCTGAAATAATGCTGACCTGTCATGCCTTTACTGTAAAACTCAGTAGAAAGGCTGAATAAACTTTTCTTTTATGTTCATTACCATTATGATTTTGATTGCTTATAAAGTGAAATCTCTCACACATTAGTAGTTGATGAATTATTTTATTGCAGCATTTCCCAAGAGTTAARAGAGACCATAGGCTGATAAAAGATGGATTTTTGGTCGAATTAACAGGTGTGTACTGTTACCAAAAACTGTTCTATCCCTATTAACATTACAAAATCATCTCCTTTTTGCACAGTGTAAGGAACTATGTAATACCACATCCAAGAAAATGAAACTTGGAATTCAGAATCTAATTGCTGCGTTGCAAGATTCACATTTTAATGATTTGAATCCAGAATAATGTTGGAATTTACATCAGTTATTCAAGCCTGTGTAAAACCACCTTACAAGACAGGGAAAAAGGACTACAACTATTTCCAAAAACATTGTCATAGAATAAAAAACAAGTATTTTTAGTAAAAGTTATTGTAATGAATACAATTGGCTGTGACAATATTTCCCCTCACCATCTTGAAAGGTAGTCTAGTCTTTGCATCAATTTAAAACRGCAGCTCAGCTTACAATGATAGATACCTGTGAATAATTGTCCAAGGTATAAACAAAAMGCATCTATCACTGCAGGCTCAACTCCTGTCTCACTTTGATTCAAATGCTTGGCTATGGGTTATTAGTGTGTAGGTTATCTCAAATTATGTTATGACAGACTTAAGACAAGATTTTGTTCTTAATTGTGCTGTAATGTATTTTTGCTAGAAAACTATGTGTACATTGAATGCATTCTATTGAATTTCTATTGTCAGATGGCATCAGGAAATTCAGACATTTATTTCTTTTTAATGATGTTCTCATTTGTGCAAAGAGAAAAGTCACAGCCAGGTATGTGCATTATCATCAACTTATSAGATATTWATATMCACYAAACTATGGGTTATTACAAATYCAGCATTCTGATTGGCTACTGAACTATTTATATTTACGTTATACCATGGTCACATTGAATGAAGCAAAAATAGTCAAAAAATGTTGATTATGGTCTCTTTTTTTTTTCGAATTAGTTCTATATTTTTGTAGATACTAAAACAATCAAGTATGGCCTCATGGACTATCAACTTGTAGTCCACTTAACCTCTTGGTTTAACCACCTAACCTCTTGGTTTAATTGTTTTTAATTAAAATAATAATTAAAATTATTGTTACCTATAAGAGTGCTTTCAATCAAAGCGTGAAAATAGTGCTATTTGAACAAAAGAAAACTAAAGAATTGGCATAAAATAATGCAAAATAGTAATTACTAATGTTTCACGCTTTTACTAAATGCACACTAGATACAAAGGAAAAATCTGTTTTTGATATGACTGTGGGCCTCACATCAACCATTCCCAATGTCCAGTGTTTTTGATAAAAATAGGTTTTTACAAATGATTTAAAGTCTGTTTGTTTTTCAGACATGAGCAGTATGTTTGTAAGTGGTATCTTCCACTGGCTGATTTGGTTTTCCATCCACATGACACATCTGAAGGTATGTCATCATTGCAAGAAGACCTTTTCTGAAATACAAAATCATAGTGCATTGTGGTCTAGCTTCAGTACAAACAACGCTATATTTGGCAGCATGAACAAAAGATGTTTGTACTGAACCTAGACCACAATACAAACTGATATCTCAGAAAAGGCCTACAGCAGTGGGGTGATGCTTTTAATGGTTCAGGGATGTAACCAGGACCTCAGGGGGGTGGGGATGGGTCAACGAGATTGTGACATACTAATTCATTGGTTTTTATTCTTCCAAAGCTGCTCAGATGGTGCCAGTTGCAAGTGAATCTGACCTTGATTTACTTAAAGGAAGAATCGTCAGTCTTAAGTCAGAAATAAGGAAAGAACAAGGAACAACAGGACAAGGCTCCAGTCCTGATGACTCCCCTGCCACCAAGGTTAGTGTTGCTATAATGCYGAAGCATACTCAAAATATTCTCTCTCAGGTTACTAAAAGTGACCGGAACTTGCAAGTTCTATTAATAKTTTTTTAGGAATCATAACCAATACTAATTATGGTTCAATTAAAAACCATACGAAAAGAGGCACTAATCCATGTGGGTCAACTCTGAAATCATGTGGGAGCATGCGCAATAATTGCAGGACGGTCTTTAGTGATAAACGACTGAACTCCGATGTAGCTGGATTGTTTTATTATTTGACAGACAGCTTTGAAACAACCCACATTAGATCACGTGATAGGAGAATAGAAGCTTTAGGCAGAGAGTAGCCTAGAAACGGAGCTTTACTCTCTCACATGATCGAAGTGTTTCATGAAAATTTAAACAAAAACGACGAAGCAAAATTTTATCAAGATTGTTCAAATTATAATACATTTTGTGTTATTTCAGCGTAAAAGAGCTCAATCWACAAATAAGACTATAGAGAAACTCAAGAAGAAGCTTGCTCAGCAGGTATATTGATGATATTCAGTTTTTACGTATTTCCTGTTCGTATAACAATAGGGAATAATTGAACAAATAACAAAGAAAAGTGGGTAGAGCATTATGGTAGCTGTCGTCASAAATGACGTCATTATGCACTACTCTAATGCCTGTGTGCTTACGTTATGCTATTCAATATTAAAACCGAAAAAGAAAATGATTGTATTTGAACACGAACGCAAACGAAAGCGTCGTAGATTCAACGCACTTGATCCGTGAATCGTACGAAATAGTACTAATAATACTATTTCTTTTGTCCTTTTGTCTTATTAGCATTATTTAGCAGCCATTGATACAATTTGTTTCACGGATGAAGTGCGTCTACTYCACGTTTTGTAAAATATCTAATGAATTTGAGCGGAGATCTTCGTGAACATTTATATCGGCGAGAAAGAAAGCGGGAAAGTATATAAACAAGTGTGCAATGAGGTGAAATGCACCAAAAAATAAAGAAAATCTCGTTTAAAGTGTGATATGCTAAAGTGTATTTCACGGATKTAAAAAAGCACTACAAATCGCCTACAAAAACTAGCTAAAGTATTTTCCTTCAAGATGAGAGTGTGAATTTTCAGTGAAACTAGAAATGCAAATGGAGACAAATCTCTTGCTGATTCTAGTCTACAATGTAGCTATTCGGTCATGGCTATAGTCCCATTGTCTTTTCTTATATGTTGAACATTTTTATTAAAAATTTGTTTATTTTTTTCTTTAGGAAGCTGCATTACTGCTCGCAACACCAAGCCTTCCATTTCATTTGTACAGTAAAAGTTCTTCGAAGGTAGTGATCATCTAACAACATTCATGATTATTATTTTTCTTATTGATATGTCATATTGATATGTTTTCTCTTGTCCTATCTATTGTATTTTTTGTATTGTTCCGAATGCTATTTTCGTTATTTTCTTCTGTTTCCCACTGACGCAGTTTTGTTTTGATGTGTTTCATTAAAAGTTCGTGAACTTCTGGTTTACGTTCTCTTTTTCTTGTGTTTTCGTGATTTGAAGCCATTTTAAGCCTCGGGGTTTTTTTCAATCGAACAAATGGCCATTGACAAAATGTCTTTTCAAGTAGGCCGAATAGGCATTGTACATGGTCTACGTGACACGATAAAATTTACAAAATATATCTTTTTTCTAAAAAAAACCATTATTATCACCTTAAAAAACTCATTTACTTTTATATTTTGTATTTTTTCTTAGACCTACACATTACTCTGTAAGAGCGACAAAGAAAGGGCAGATTGGAAAGAGAATATGTTATGTCACATTAAAAGCTCAACGGGTAAAAAAGCCATTATTGTTACCTTATTAGATATGTTAATAACATGACACTTTAGAGATAAAGTCTATACAAATAAGTGTTATGAAATAGCGAGGAAGGAGTGGTAATTTAGCACGTTAACTATCCCTAATTAAACTGGCGAGCGCCAATCTTAATTTTTCATTGATTTGAACTATCTGTTAACTGTTTTAAAAACATCTGTATCGCTTTTCCCGCCACACGAGAAATTTGATGACGCGTCCGCMCTTTTGATACCAGCAAAGGAATTTATATTCAGAATTTCAGATGATATTAATTAGCACTGTCATATCCCCACTCGGTTTTCGAAAACGCAGACTTTTCTATTTTCAGCTTTCTCGTATCATGAAGTTTTCTTTACATGTAAAAATATCAGTTGAATTTGTTTCCTAATTTAATTACAAAATACCTGTGTTGTTTCGCTCTGATGCTTTAATTAACTAATTCTTTTTGTTTTGCTTTTTTGCTCAGAAACACCATCAAGCTTTCATTTAAGCATATTTGAGCTCCAAACTCTTCTGGAGGCGTGTAAAAAGGTAATTTCTAATCGTTTAGCCCCCAAAAACACGAGAACTAATTCCCTTATTCGTGTTGCCATCAACCACAAAGTCCATTCTTACAAGTAAACGTGCTAATCCTCGTTGTTGTGGTAATTTGTGTATGTCGGAGAAGCGTGACACCAATGCTTGTTCGCAAGCCCTAACGGTGAAACCGTCCGTACCATTGGTCCGCCTCGTATTGTTGAGCTACTTAATTACTTCTATGTTTACATGAGGCTCGCATGCAAACCGACTTTTTCTCGGTCTTGAGCAACATGTCGTAAAAGACTTGACCTTATCAGTGGTATGAACAACATGAGGTTCCCCGGCTCGCCGGACTTGAGATTATTTCGTCGCAAAACCGCCACAGCAAGTGACTTTCATTCTGTAAGCACTAAAGGTTCTCGTTCTCCGAACTTTTCCCTGAGACGACGTACTACATTTTCGAATGCACGCGAGGTAAGAGAAAATTCCCTCGAATTCTTTGTTTGAATTAACACGAGAAATTGATTTTTTTTTATTCATTTATCCGATTATGGCCTCTGTGTGGTACAAATTGAAAGTTKTTGGTCTCAGTTGTTTGCTACAAGCATGGTTCGTGACCACATTTACCCTATCTTTATACCGCAATACAACCTACTTTAATTACAAATTCTCTAGTTGTTACGAGTTGAATTGACGTTTATATTTATATAAAAAACAATTTTGTTATCGCCATAATTTTAAAACTTGATWTATTTTCAGAGTTCTGCATTAATTGAAAGTGAATGTCCGAATTTATTGATTTTTTGTAAGCTTTTTCGGTTAATAAAAGAAGGAAGTAGGCCATTGGAAGTATTTGAGAGGGATCGATTATAYAGATATGGCAAAGTCAAGTTTTACAACAAATCCGTGGATTTTTCTTTGTTGTGTTTTTCTGTTCAAAATAGTGAAGTTCTTGTCAGTCACTGTTTATTTTTATCATTAGTAAATTTGTTGTTTTTTTTCGTGCTAACATCAACTCGAGAGTACTTGAGCATCACTGAATATATTCCCTAAAAAATAAACCGTATAAATGTTCAAAGAATGAAAAAGACATCGTTGTTTGTTGCTCGGAGCTTCGTTCCTCGTAAGCAAATAATGCGACATCATTTTGAAAGTAAATTGTGTTGGAGTTGATTCTCAGCTTTGATCGTGACAACTCGTGCATTGGTTACTTAGAATCAAGTATCTCTACGTGGTTGTTCAAGCGAGTCCATCTAGAGTCATTGAAGTTTTTTATGGGCGAGAAATCTTCACGTCTTCTTGTACAGTTAATGAAGGATTAGTCGAATTTTCGCAATGTTTACACAGTAACGCGATTTCACTTCAAAAATCGTTATCTTCCCTGACGGTTCTGAATTTTTCGTTTCATTTTCAATTAAAATCATGCCAGCTTGAGGCTGCACGTCTAACACTTCTACTACATTGTAGCAGTAACAGAAACAGTTTGTTTTCTTTTGMGGTAGAATGGTTGAGCGTTTTTCAACTTCTTTTTAGTGTAATTAGTGTCAACATCATTTTGTCTTAACTCTTTTGCTTATTATAAACATTTTCTTTTGATTTTGCCCGCCTTTATCAATTTAGCTACTATTTAAAAAAAATTGTGGTTTCTCTAGCACTTTATTTTCACMATCTGGTAACCCGAACACATAACTTAATTCTGAAGACACTGGYAAATCTTTACATTATATCACGACTTAACCTGATTTGTGACGTACAGTTCTGCATATGCTTGAGTTGTTTTCTTGTATATGCAAGTGTTAATTAATTTTTTTTTGTTTTGTTTTGTTTTGTTTTACAGCTGCGAACTTGTAAGACTCTTGGTAAAGTCGCCATTGTTGAAGGTAAAGAATTCAGTTATCGAAAATTAGACTTTTCAGTTTAAATWTATCTATAATTGAATCGAATTAAAATCTTGGAGTATTATTTTGCCGAGTTKTGAGGAAATGAGGCCAGTTTTGAAGTTCTTGCAAGAGTGTTGTATTCGAGAGAGGACTGGGCCCGATACTTTTTGCGCATTTAATTCACTTGCGCATTAGGACTTCAAAATTCCTCAAAATTTGACAGTTAGTTTGGTTAATTTTCAGTTTAATTTCCTACTCCTCTACGAAATTAGTGTTTTTCTAAATTATTCGGCTACCTAATCCATGAATTGACAATTTCTTTGTGTCTGTGATGTCACTTGTGACGTCATATTACGGGACAAAAGCTCAGAGCAACTTGACCGAAAATCGCTTGATTGTCGAATTAATCGCCCTGTGCWCAATTGCGATGAACACGGCGTTTAGGCAAGGATTTGTGTTGTTGTTCAAGTCTAAAGGTGAGCTCAAAGCTAGTTTKCTCCGAAAATTTATATTAATTCTTCGACTTTGGGGATTACTTATCTGTCATTACAGGCTGCCAAAGCGGTAATTTCTCTGCAGGCAAGATTTTCGTTCAAATTTCATTCATTTAACGACCTGGATGGTCGTGCATTTGTAGTTAAGAGAGTTTGGTTACATTCATAGAATGGCGTGAATTATGAATACATCTTACAATACATAAAGTACGTTTCTAAATATAGAGTTATTGAAAAAAATTATTGTAACTTTACTGCGGCAATTTTATAAAAGACATCTGAAAGTTTCTTCTAGATCTGCGTTAATGTACGTTTTTTTTTCTTTGATAAAACAGTAAAGTATATCTCTTCACTCGAATTCCCAAAGTAGTTTCAAAATTAATATTTTGTCTTCCCAACCTGTATTCTCGTGAATAATTTACGACTCTCGTTTGCATATTTTTCTGTTAGAAAAAGTTAACTATTAAATCGACATGATGCTTTTTAGTTGTGACATAAATTATACCGATAAAAATACTTAATAATGCGATGAGTAGTATGCAACAATTTCCACTTTTAAAACCGGAAAAAGTCGCATAAATGTTACTTTTAATGTTTTGTATTCCACTTATTACAATTTTAAAGTGTATTATTTATATTTATTCCTGATTTATTCTACAAAATGTTTATATCGAATTGCACCGTTTATGAATTTACAAATTACTTGAATTATGCAGCTGTATATACATTCGGGAATACTTCCTATTCGACTAAAAACATGTTGTGGGACAAATTGGAAAGTGGACGACCGAAAGTTAMTGTGGATATTGACTATTGACGGCAATATCTACCTTTAAAAGGCAGTCAATACTGCAGTTTCCATTAAGTAATGTTCAATGACGTCTTGCCAGTGTTTTTCAGCAGATCAGTGCATACCCCATCCTCGGGAACCCAGGGGTAATCTTCTGTCGTTCGTGAGGAACGAACGACAGAAGATTACCCCTGGGTTCCCGAGGATGTGCATACCCATAATTCCTATGAAAACTTTCAGTCGTTCGTCACTCACTCCAACAACCTTCAATGTATTGTTGGTSTTATTTAGACAGCTAGCAATAAATCACGTTTCTTCTCTACAGATAAAGAGCTTCTCAATGGCTTACTTTATGTAGACATACAAAATGGCAAAGGTTTTCACCGAAGTGGTAAGTGCATTCTTCTGTGAAGAACACGTAACTTTCTGAAGTCAATCGGGTGGAGTCGAATTCACCGTGTGTGGTTTTGTTGTTGTTTTTTTTTTCTAACAACATGTTTAATTCATAGTGTTTATTTTTTAGACCTTTACTGTGTTATCGAGGTYGATCATTACGGACAATTCGTACGCAAGGCAAAGACAAAGATTTGTAAAAGTACAGGGGATCCAGTATGGAATCAGGTAATAGCCGAGTTTAGATATTTTGGTTCAGTGACCATGCACAAAAGAATTGCAGACGAGGCTCCGGGGAAATAAAGAATAAATCAAGATTATCCATTGGTAATTTTATTTTTTTTAATATTGCAAAGAGTTATTTTGAAGTGCACGCTTCAAAATGACCAATCAAAGAGCGTATAATATCGTTTTATTCTTTATTTCCCCGGAGCCTCGTCTRCWATTYTTTTGTGCATGGTCACTGAACCAAAATATCTAAACTCGGCTATTGCCTTGCTAGAGACAGTTCAAAGTGTACTATAGTTTAATACATAACAAAGGCCATCCAAGATTCCAATCAGTCTTTCATTAATAAATGGATAAAAACAAGAACAAACTGTAGCAACTTTTTATCCTTTATTTTGGTCTTGGAGTGGATGGCGCTGGGTTTAAGTTTTCGTCAAATGGAAGACATAAAAATAGCTACAAATACTCACATTCTATCATGTGCCTTTTTTCACTGATTTCTTGAGCTATTTTTTTAGGATTTCGACATCGAAGTAGAGGGAAGCAAGGAACTCAGGCTTCACGTGTTTGGCAAAAGTCGTTATGGTTTGATGAGTGATGAAGAGTGTGGTCTTGGAAAAATAACGGTAACAAATTATGAATAACGAGGTACTCAATGAAAACCCCTTTTACTATGCCTATTGTCTGTGTCCATCGTGCCGCCCGTACCCTTGTAGCACTGAAGTATGGGGGAGTGTTCAAGAAGACCATCAAATGATTATAGAAGTTATCTGTAAAATAATTATATTTTCGTTCTCTTTATGTAGCTRACAAGAGAAAACTTAACAGACCAAAAGAAACGAAACATCACAATCTCCCTTGATAAGCAGGTAACTTYGATTTCCACTCGTTCGTGACGATATTCRAACTATTGCGTTACTGATCCTTGTCGCACAATTTTCAGGGTGCTGTCACGCTCTCCATACAGTACTCCAAAACACTACAAGGCATCCAGAGAAAAAAATCYCATAGTGAGTCGGGTGTTTTTGGTGTAGATATCGACATAGTGACCAGGTATGATGCAATATTTTTTGTTGATTTAGTGTTTTTCCCGCCTTGTTTATCCTTACGTGACATCACAGTGACTCCTGTCGTCGCAGCACGGGCTCGCGTTTTGCGCTTGCGAGAGAAAAAGAAACTGAGCTGATAAGAACGTGGGCTTATACGTACTTTCTAACGTAATTCGAAGACGCAACAAATTGCAATATTTTGTAATTTCTGTCGTTTGTGTGTTTTAAGAGAAAAAGTGAGCTCGATTTCCAAGTTTTTGTATTGAACTGAAACGTAACTATAACAGCAGGAACCTACAGTAGTGTATATCATACTTTTCGTGTTAAATATAAAACATTGACAAATTTTATTCTTTCATGATTTCAGTCGAGAAGAGTTCGATATACCATTAATAGTAATTGGTTGTATACGAGAGGTTGAGAAGAGAGGAACGGAAGAAGTAGGAATCTATCGATTGTCAGGTGCCTCGTCTGACGTACGACGACTTAAAGATGTCTTTAATGAAAGTAAGTCCCCCTTTCCTTACCCCTCCCCCTCCCCCCATGTCCGTGTATCTTTGTTTACCAATGAGCAGTAACTCATACCGCTTTCTGCACCGACCTCCTCCTATTTCTGTCCCGATGATCTTTTTTTCTTTCCTTTTCCCCTATTCAATTTCCTCTTCTGTATGCCACACTCTGAGTTTTGCTTTATTCTGCTATACTTGCGTTGCTTTTCCTCAGATTTTCTCTGTTTCTCCTATTCTACTTCCGTCTGCTCAGTTTGTTTTGCCTTCGCGTATTCTCATGTGCATTTATTTTTCTTAATTCTGATTCACTTTTCCTTGTTSCTTTTCTCGCCTTTGCTATTCTCTGCGCTCATAATTACTCTCTTCAACACTCATCCTCCTCTTCCCCTCTAGTCATATCTTCAACTGAAAATGTTTGACTGTATAAATACTTGTTTATTTTTCTTTATCGTTCTCTTACAGATAGTCAAAGTGCACTAGTGTCGATAGCCGAGTCTGATATACACGCYGTGTCTGGCCTTTTAAAGCTGTACCTTAGAGAACTTCCTGAACCGCTATTCACAAACGAGTTGTACAACGACTTTGTTCAAGCTTACGGTAAGTTTTAATACGTATTCGTGCCCTATAGAAATACTCGAATTAGCAGACGGAAGGAATGACAGGAAGAGAAACGTAAGGTTTTCATTTCATAGATTGTAATAAGGGGATACTGTTTTGTCTTTAGGCCTAGCAGACAAAGAAGAGAAGAAGGAACGTATGCTGGAGCTCCTCAACTCTTTACCAACACCAAGCAGGCTAACATCGCTTTATCTATTTGACCATCTAAGAAAGTAAGCTARCATTTTCACCCTACCGTTACGTCRCCTACCCATCATTCTCTGCGACAACCTTTTGTGGTTAAACCAGGTCCGAAATGCTATTTCTCTGTAGTTTKAATTTTGACCAAATCCCGTTATCAAATGCCTTTCTCTTTTTATATATATATTGGTAAATACCAGTTCCAATACATTAAAAACAAGCAATTCCCAGTTAAATTGAACCAAAGACTTAAACCTGGACAATACTTCAAATTTTTTTCAGGGTTGGAGAAAACAGCGATGTTAATAAGATGAGTCTCAATAACCTTGCAACTATTTTCGGTCCCAACGTTCTGCGGCCCTCTCCCAGCACTGGCGGCCCATTGGATCTCGCGCAGGGCACGTTAGATGTCATGTCACAAGTAGGAATATTTCTGTACTTTTTAAAATTAGACTCTGATGACGTCAGACTGCCSAACGATCCTGAGATTAAGAACAGACTGAATCCAACTCGATCTACCGATACAGTCGATTATAACGACAGGCTGATATAATGGAATTATGGGAAGCCTGTAGTCTCAATCTTCATATGTTGGGATTCCTGTGTTAGTTTTGAGAATTGTATAATGACGAACTTCTACGTCTTTTGAATTTTGGTAACATTGTATAGTCCCAGTTTAGGCTGTATGGGATTCCTTTGTTGGTATCGTTTGGCTCCACTATGCAGGGGTCAGTATTATGCGATTCCTGTTTTCCAYAGCATGTTATGGTGCCTAGCAGGTGTGATGGGATACATGCGCCATCGAATAACCGCTATAAAATATTTGGTATACACCAAGAACGATAGTTTTATCTTGCATTCGTGGCTCTCGCTCCCTCTACCATAAAGTCAAATTCAGCACTCGATGAAAATGGCAGTCTACAGTTAAGAAACTTTCTCAAGTAAACGTTGAAATTAATTCTCTGGTTGTCCACATCACAGGCGTCTGTAAATCAGTCGTTCTTGGTTACTATTAAAGAAAGCATAATAWTTACYCCTCCAATGCATTCAACTGTGCATGACACTGAGGCAAGTTCAGCTGTACTTGTAGTTTGTGGACTCGTCAATGTTGCTTTGAATGGTAGACTTACTTTACGTTGGTCATTGGTCAASAATGAGTTGGTATAGCTCTGTAATATACTTATAAAGAAAAATCGAATTGATACGAAACCTAAAATAAAACAATAGCAAACTACATAAAAAGCTACTATTTTAAGAAAAGATTTATCAAATTATACGTCGTTTATCGCAAAGTTAACGCTAGTCAACACCGACGATTTTTGCGGCGATGTTTGAGGTCATTTTGATCCTAGTAAATAGTGTTTAGAATTCAGCACACTGACTGGAGATGAGCTAATCAAACGTCTCTTCACAGGAATGAGACAAAATCTTTTATATTTTTTGAAAACTGCCGCAAAAATCACCAGTGTGATCTGTTCTTTATGTTGCACCCGAATGTTTCTCTTGAAACAAACGGAGARACTGGTGTTTGGTTGATTTTCAATCTTTGGTAACAATTAGATTTAAAAAGGTCATTTCTCCATCGTTAAAAATAGGCAACATTCGTGGGTGTTTGTCTACGTAATGTTGTGTACATTATCTATAGTTTCTTCGAGTTTTAGACTTAGATATTGATTGTTACATAATATATTCAAAGCAATTGAATTTAAGGTGGTACCATAGAGGTGTACCCCCCGTCCAAACTGAGGACAACAACAAATCGACTTTTCCTGGATACTTTTTTCATTTATATCGAACTGTTACTATGACAACAGTGCATCACGTGACAGTCACCATGACAACAAGAGTAAATTAGCTAGTATAATTTGGATATGATTTTTAACAAGGCCTATTAACGAATGCCTTGTAAATTATGTACAAAAGTTCAATCTGTTCTTTTCAATGTCTGGCAGGGAAATATAATGTATTTTTATAATCTAAATGTTTGTATAATGAACTGTACGCWTTTTAAAACATTATTTTTTGGGGAAAATGCACTAGCAAAAACATTTTATGATTAATCGCGAAAGGCACTTTTAAACTTCATTCTTGTCTTTGGTTGAACAGTTAAAAACAATTTCTTGTTCAGTAGCCTCTGAGATATGTCGTTTGGCTTCCGCGCATGATATATAGACCTTTGAAAAACTTGAAAAACTTAACGGCAAATGTCATAGTAGTTAAAAAGACACTTGTATTATGTACTTAATCATCCTTTTGTATTGCCTTTCATCTTGAAGAGATTAGAAATACATGTAAACACTGAAAAAAGGTCAGGCAYAACTTACATTCTTATTTCATCGTGAGCCTTGTCAGTGCAATATTCAATGACGCTCATGCTTTTTGTAAGAATACCGCTGACAATGCAACAAGCAAAACTTGAAAAAAGTCGTCAGTTTTAAGTAGCTATATAGACAAAAAAAATATGAATAAGGAACTTGTGTATAGAAGCATGATTGTTAAAATACGAAATAACAAAAATAATTTAATTTATTTGAGAAAAATATAATAATTCTATAGTACTAATAAAAAGTCATTGAAAAAAGTTTACATTGTTGTTATTCTTATTTAGCTAAACGTGAATGTAACTTGTTCCACACTGCAAAATATCATAAATTAAAAGGACATGGCTAACCGGCATCCCTTTCGAGCTTTTTTGAAAATAAAAATACATCGTAATATTAGCAAAAAACCTCTATTATTCCTTAATACTGAATGAATGGGGCCATAGTATAAGATTTGATTCTTAATACAGACGAATGGGAAGCGGTTGGGAATGGATATCTGAAGTCACCATTTCCCATATATGAAAAATCAAGAAAAGACCGCATTGAATGCTGGTTGACCATGGTCCTGAAAAAAGATAWATTGACATCAATTTACATTCTGCAGTGCTCTACGTTGAATTATCTTTTCCTATTTGTGATRTAAAACGCGTCTTAAATTCAATCTTTCAAAAAAGAAAGCAAAGAAAGGAATTCGCTTGATTTATAAAATCTTTTTCCTAAGAAAATCTTGATTTCCCCCCTCCCCTCCCCCCGTTAAAGTCGTTACACTGCAGCCATACGAAACACTAATTGTGATCAATAATCCAGTATAAACAAAGGTGTGCAATCAAATTAAGGTCTCCTATCAACTTGTGGTAATGACTATGATCAACATTCTCCTGTTATGAGACACATCTTAAATAAATAGAAACTCTACTATCTACAATTTTGATTTTAAAATCGGTGCSAATGCGATTTTGTCATTGGTCTTGTCAYGYCTTGTATTCCTTACTGAGAACAGAACCGATTTCTGTTGCTCTTCTTATATTTTTTGTCTTTGATGTATTATTTTTTTCTTTTTTAAAAAAAGTATTAAAAAAAACAAAGGAAATAAGTTATATCTAAATAAATCCCGTACAAATGAAGCCATATTAATCCCAATTAATCCCAATATTCTTTGCTGTTTACAATGTTTTTGTAAATCCTGATTCCATTGCCTTGTTCAGAAGCTCTTTGTCTCGTTGTCGCTATGACTTTACTGTCGAGTTGAAAGTATTGCTYATTTTTGAAGTTTTCTGTTCAAAGCCCACTGGAGGAGAGCTTGTCCAATAGAGGAGAGACAAGAGCAGTCCAGCCTGTTTGGTGACTACAAAAAAGAACAGTGTTAGTTTTAGGCCTTTTTTCCTTTTAGCCCGGAAAGCTTTGCTTCCATAAACTATTTTCTTTTTGTAAATACGGCTGTACACTCACCTTGCACCACACCCTCTTCCCGTATCGGGATGGAAATACTCGTAAAACAGGACTAACTGGTTCCAGTTAGGATCATTGGCATACTGTTCTTCTTCTCCGTGACATGGTCGCCTACCATTGTTGTCAGGAAGGAAAAGTGACGTCAAACGGCGGGAAATCTCCTGAGCAACGTCACGCAAGCTCATTACGTTTCCAGAACCCGTTGGGCATTCGACTTGAAAGGATTCTCCATAGAACAAATCGTAACGTTTGAGCGCTTCTACGATGAGATAGTTGACTGTAACGGAAAAATGTTTACGTAAGAATCTAAACAAAAAATAAGAATCCTTTGGTAGAAAAACTCCTGCGACATATTTTTTTTTTCACGCGTTTGTTAAGCAAGTATCGCGTGGCCTGTCGAAGAACTACTTCGTATTTTGATTCCATGCAACGCAAACATCTTTATGCTTTWCGTACCACAAAACCATACTGGTCCTCTCCAGTTACTATTTCCGCCAAACATTGATGTAGTAGACTCTCCMGGGACGTAATCCACCTTGTAAGCCTTSCCTTCCATCTCGAAGTTATAGGGATGRTTACTGTGGTATTTAGACACTGAACGGATTCCATAGGGAGAAAGAAACTCTTCTTCGTCCAGCATGTAAGAAAGAAGGCTGTGTAGCTGCTCAGCCGAGGGAATGGATAGAAAATGGTTACCGGTGATCGGATCKGTGTACGTTATCTAAGTGTACAATAAAAGAATGTTATTTTTATTCAMGACATGTACTCGCCTGTGATTGGCTATGGATTGCCAGTCATTTGGTCATATTTTGAGTTCATCGTCCAACATTTTTTTCATCAATGAATCAATGATATTTTTGATTTATTGCGTAAATAAATAAACATATCGATACTAAAAGTTTGATATGACTCATGGTTATCCATCTCTCTAACCTGAGATGCCAAGGACTTCTTTTTCTCCACAAACACGTTTAATCTGTTTCTGAAACCAGGTAGTCTATCCAGGTACTCAGCCTCAAGAACCCAACMWGCCAGCAARGGAACCAAGCCAACGATAGAGCGCACGCGYAGAGGAAACGTCTTATGACCCGTTTGGAAATGATCGTAGTAAAACCCGTCCTCGGGATCCCACAAGCCATAACCGTCCGACATCTTGTTCATGGCCCCGGCGATGTGCGTGAAGTGTTCAAAGAACTTGGAAGCCATGTCTTCATAGGCTGGGTCTTGRAGGGCCAACTCGAGGGAGATGTTTAGCATTACAATGCAATAGAAGGCCATCCATGCTGTCCCGTCAGCCTGTAAGATAAACAGAACACCATTAGCAGAACTGAAAGCAGGGAACCAAAGTAAATACACTTTGATGGGTGGATTAGTGAGAGATGTGTCAATTCTCAGACGGGTTGTTCAAAGCTCGATTAATCCGATTAATCCGACTAATCCAACATATTAGAGACAGATTATTTATTACGATGCAAATTGCGCGGTATCCTTTTGATTGTTCTTGAAGGCCAGGATGCAAAGGCAAAGAAGTATGGCGGAAAGTKTCTAAATATTCGTTCTCTACCATTTCTGGAAGCGTTTAGATAATTTCAAGCCTTAGAATGCCTGACTAAAAGCAAGATGAAAATAAAGATTTAGCCCGTACTCCCACATAAGGTAAGATTTCGTTATATACGATTATAACRTTTAAGTTAGACTTTTTTCGAAGGGGTGATTTCAAAACCTACTAAAATYCCCGTAAAATCGCATTCACTGATGTCTACGTATTAAAGACATTCATACCTACCTGGCATAGTCTCCCTCCTCCAGGTAATGGTTTGGATCGATCAAACACGCCTAAAAAATAGACATTGTTGTTTATTTTGAATGACTTTGCAAAGATACAAAAGTATAGGATCAGACTCACCAATGTTATCAAGTCCGAGAAATCCGCCACCAAAGATATTCCAGCCGTCAGGATCTTTTCTATTCACCCACCTTAAAACATAAAAGTTGTACATCTAAATTAAGGGGATTTAGTTAAATTGTATTGTTATATTGATTACTAGTCTTTACATGTAATATTCGGTTGATATCAGACATACGCTATCTATTCATGAGAAAGAATAATTACAAAGATGTCATAACCACAAAATGAAGGTCATTCTCACCATGTAAAATTCAAAAGCAGTTTTTGGAAGCATTTTGACAAGAAAACACGRTCCCTTTCCCCTCTCTTGGCTGTCATCTCRTACACGCGAAAACACGCGAGTGCGTGGACGGGTGGATTGACATCACTCAGCGCAAACTCGTAGGCGGGAATTTGTCCGTTGGGAGCCATGTATGTTTCTTTTAAGAATAGCAAGAGTTGACTTTTGGCAAATTCTGGGTCAATTTTGGCAAAWGGAAGCATGTGGAATGCTAAATCCCAAGATGCATACTATAAAAAGAAATAAAAAAATCAAAAATGCATTATAAGTAAGATTTAAATTTCCGGGTCCATTTTCACGTGAATGTGTTAAATCTTACCCATGGATATTCCCATTTGTCAGGCATGCTTATAATATCTTTATTGTGCAAGTATTTCCACTCTGAGTTTCTKCCATTTTTTCTTGACTGAGGTGGTGGTGGCATTAAAGAGTCTCCTTTTAGCCAGTCTTCCGTGACGTAATAGTAGAATTGCTTACTCCACAGCAAGCCCGCATATGACTGDCGAGATACCAGTTTCTCCTCGTYKGATAGTGATTCTGTAAAAARTAKTCAAATCGTCCATTTTTAATTTTTGAGTTCTAATTACACTGAACGGATGTGAACGTTCTCACCTGGAATAACAGTCCTGTAAAACTCATCTGCTTCCATCCTTCTCATGGCAAGTACGTCATCATACGAATCCTTCCCGAATGGCGTCGGKACTCTGTCGGGTTGTACTGAAAGGCGACATCGTATAACGTGCGTCTCACCAGCAGGAACATCAAGTACATAATGAGGAGCCACTTTGGTACCTTTTAGTCGAGGGTTCACAGCACGAGAATCCTTATCAATGAGGTACTTATGGAAAGCGTCTTTAACGTACTGACTTGTATTGGTTTCCTTGTATAAACGCTGAAAAAAGGCGGGAAAAAAGGATTAATATTAGACTAATACTAATGATAACAAATACAATCCTCACTTTAAAGTTAGTTTCATTGTCTGTAAACAATAGTTCCGGAGGATGTCCATCCTGTCCAACATCAGCCGCGAAAATGTACTTCCCAAGCGTATTGTGGTGGCATTCTACAGTTCCAGGCGCTATTTGCTTTATTTTTGGTTTACTCGTGGATTCTCCATGCAGTGAACCCCATGACCACGTGTTTCTGTACCAAAGAGATGGTAGCACGTGGATGCGCGATGCTTGTGGTCCGCGGTTAGCTACTGTAATGTTGATGATGATGTCATCTGGAGTGCTCTTGGCATATTCGACGAAAATGTCCCAATATCGACTTTCGTCGAAGACCCCTGAGAATAATCACAAAATAGATTAGTGGATCGCAATGGCGATGTTCCTTCACATCAAAACATGCCCACTTTGTTCGTTCTACCCAATTGTTTATACCTTCCCACCCTCTTCTTTTGACGGCCTTCCAGTCCCTACCAAAAAAGGACAGGAAACCCGACAAAAGAAGGGACTGGGAAGAAGACTATTGATGAGAGGTGATTGGTGTATTCGAAGCTGTTCGAGCCTTGATTGTTAAATACTGTGAGTTTTTTAATATATCTTTCGTGTCTTTTTAAAGATCCTTTACTAATATTACATAATCATTGGTAAAGAACAAAGAACGACGTACCGGTGTCGATAAGCTCAAATTCAGGAGACTCTTTTGATCTATTCTTGTTTTCTTCCACCAGCCATTGATAAGGGTATTGGTTCTGTGGATATTTGTACAGTGCTTTCATGTACGAGTGAGTAGGTGTAGAATCAAGGTAATAGTAGCACTCTTTCACATCCTCACCATGGTTACCTGGATACCAAAATTGTACATCAGAAGAAAACATGATTTGAGTTATCACATGATTTCCGTAAGATAGTGAATAATTAGGCGAAACTAAATCGAAAACTGTGGAGAATTACAGCATGTAATTTAATCCAGATTGACTACGTAAATAAAGAACATTTATCGTTACTATTTTGATATATTTTCGGTCTACCTGTGGCGTAGCCTTATCTACTTGTCCAGAGGAGGGAACAGTAGTACCCCACAATGCATTGCGTTTCAGACTATATTATCGGTTTTTATATGACGTCATCACTTGTTTTTGGTCTTGGCCGAGTGAAGATCAATGGCGGGAAACTTTGACCCGTTCGCCAATTTCATCTCTAGAATTTCGATTATAGAGATGAAAATCTCAAAGATTCTTCTTTTTTATATATTCATTGTATAAGTAAGAACAATTTTCAAGTATCGACAAAAAGAATTGCTTTTTTAGACCTTATTTGTCGACAAGTGGACATCAGTTTTGTAGATAA